AGATCATTTAAAACCTTTAGGAGAGCCGTCTCTGTGCTGTGGTTGTTGTCATTTTGTGCTACACAAATAAAATTGAAGTGTAGGTTATCCATCACCATGTGTTTGCATTTGGGTCCTAAACTCTGCAATTCACGACACATTCATTGCTGCATTGTTCATTCATTTAGTATGAAGTGTGAGGATGAATATCTGTCTTTAAACTCAGTAAAGTGCATCTGAACAGTTCAGCCAAGCACCGTAAGCTGCTTGTGTACAACCCAGTTCCTAAAAGCACTGTGTGTACATTTAAACAGAATACAATGATATGCACATATCATAAACTCACATTTAACTCATAATAAATGTGGGAGACAATGAGCCCTCAGTTTGACTTTGATGGCAGAGGCATGTCTCAAAAAGTTGGGAAGGATGAGTGGAAATGGAGGTGGTGCTAAAACAAAACAGGTGGAGGAAGATTTGGCTACCACTCCGGTTATTTGGAAGCAGGTCAGTCACATGATTAGGTATAAAAAGAGCATGTTGGAGAGGCAGCGGTCCAGCAGTCTGAAAAAGCTGCATCTATAATCGGTACTCTAAGGAACTTGGAAAGGTGAGCTGGAGCTCTTTAAGTTTCTTCTTCTTTAAGAAGTTTCAGCTTCTTCAGCTGTAACACCAAACGGTGGAGGGTCCCAGGTATTTAAGCGCTAGTGGGCGTGTCCCTGAGAGGGTCGCTGACCCACTGCCGATCATGTGACTCATCAAATGAGCCAAGGTGTGAAAAAGGGCACGGGTCATTATCAGCCAAGGTTTCAGGTGAAACCATTGTGAGACCCTGCCCACACTATCATGTGACCTATTGAGGTCACCAGATGCAGGGTGTGAGTGGGCGTTAAGGCGTCTAGGAAGGATCTCAGACTGGATTATAGATGGAAGACAGTTGGTGTGCTAAGCCCCGCCCTCTGTCCAAAGATGGTCATTCACAGTGGACATAGATGCTTCCTTCACTCCTCTTTCACTCCGTCTGTCTTCTCTGTCCAACATGTAAACATTGGCGTCCTCAAAGAGTGACCTTTGACCTTTAGATGCAGATGAACAGCCGAGTCTTGACCCCTCGAGGTGGCTCTTCTGTGTTGTGTGTTTATGAAGTGTGTGTCCAGTGTAGACGTCCGAGCGCCCCTCTCTGCACAGCTGGTTTGTTGAGTTTGTGATGAACCAGTGTGTGTCTGAGTGTGTGTCTGGATCTGAAGTACACTGGGATGTCGTGCTGGGAGAAGACTGTATCATCAGCATAGTAAGAGGAATGTGTGCGTGCAGAGACGAGGCTGATAACTGCAGTGGCGCTGCATTAAAAACACGACTCTGTGATAAATCAGCGCATGGCTCAGGAACACTTCCAGAAGCCGGCGACTGTGAGCAGCTCAGCGTGCCGTCCACCAGTGCAGGTTACAGCGCCATCAAAGTCCACGTGACCGGCATGGAGAAACAGCACCGACCCGTTGATTTGGATTGTTACTGACATCCGGTGCATCTTTAGAAATATATTTACTGATATTTATTTACCTGCTGTAGGTGTTCCTAAGAAATATTCCCAAGTATAACTCAAGACTAATCGGATAGTTGTTGGCTTGATTGCTGGTTGCTTCACTCTGCATGCCAATCTATCCTTGGGCAGGATGCTGAACCTTGAGTTGCTCTCCAGTGCATGCACCTGAGTGTAAATGTTTGAAATCACTGAAGTATAGAAAAGTGCTTGTGTGAATTTACCATTTAATCCAGTCTCCCGTGTGTTTTTCTCTCCAGAATTGTTCCTGAGAGGAGAATTGTTGTGGTTGGAAAGATTGCAGCAGGGACACCATCTTAGGTGGAGAAGTGTGTGAGGCTGAACTGTCTGCAAACAACTCAATGAAAGTACCTCAGACACAAACATTTACATTTTTTATTAGCGAGCACTTAAAGTCCAGCAAGTCTTAAAAAAACAGCTAACTGGAGCAGCTCTGTTTGATTTGTAGCTGGGCAGGAAGTTATAAGCTCATGTAGCTTAGCATGTTAGGCTAAGAGTCAAACAACTGACAGACAGCAAACAGGGAGGTTTGACAAAAAGCTCCTTTAATTCTGACTTTTATTAAGAGTTCAATCTGAAACATTCAGCAGATGCTAATCTCAGTGAAAGTCAAACACATTCAGTGAGCGTGTACGGACAGCATGTGTGATGACGGTTGCAGCCCTTTAGCCCAGACTTTGAAGCTGCCGAGGATGAACCATTTCCTGTTTCCAGTCCAGGCTGATAAAGCGCACCGCAGCTTTTTAGGAATCATGAACGTTCTGCGATCAACACCCCACTACGTTACCCAGTGGCTGCACGGCCTTTCTGTTATCGGGGGTTTAAACAGCTGTCACTGTACTCCTACACGCCAAACAAAAGCACCCATCTGAACACCTTCAGAGCCACACCTGCAGCTTAAACCTGAAGACTGCGTGAACCTCTGATTAAAGGGTCATTCTGCTTGATTTCAGTAAAGAAATGCACGAGACTCATCCCGTTAATTTTAGAAATCCATAACAGCCAACGACTGTTTCAGTCTGACTTTACAATCATTAAAAACGGGCGTTATTATCCACTCAGTATTTGCAGACTCTATCCGATGGTCTGAAGTCAGAGAGAGCCCGATTAGCTTGAAGGTTAGCTTAGCAGTGAATCAGGTGTGGTAGATTGTCCTCCTAGGTGGGCGGAGTCATTAAACAGATAATTCTTCAGGGTCTGACAGCAGTGATTGTTATCAGAGTTTCAGGAACATGTGTATGTGTTCTTCTGTTTGGTTTCACTGCAGCTCTGAAGGTTTGTACTGGGAAATAATGACTATCATGGATACACAGTCGGTTTCACATTTAAACACTTCCAACACGAGTGCTGGATGGACTTTGAGTCAATGACCCTGGACCTTCACAAAGCCTGTATAGCTGATATGTGTGTTTAACACAGGGGTGGGCAACTCCAGGTCTCAAGAGCCGGTGTCCTGCAGGTTTTAGATATCAACCTGGATATCGCACCTGAATCAAATGATTAGGTCATTACCCAGCCTCTGGAGAACTACAAGAAATGTTGAGGAGGTCATTTAGCCATTTGAATCAGCTGTTTGGATCAAGGACACATCTGAAACCTGCAGGACACCGGCCCTCGAGGTCTGGAGTTGCCCACCCCTGGTTTAACATTTTCTCTATGAAGGATCACCACGAGCAGTCAGCTTGTTTTGGACATGTACAGCCTTCAGTATAGGACCTGGGTGGACCTGGGTGGACTTCCTAAAAAGGAGTGGGCAGACATGCAAACACCAGACTGGTTTCAGATGTTGGTGGAGATTCAACATCAGTTTTGAGACTCTTGGATTTCTGAAGGCCTTCAGCAAAAATTGTGAATGGACATTGTGTCCAACAAAGATCAGGACCAAAGAGATAGACACAAGGTTTTGTTTGCCAAAAGATAAATGTGGTCTGCACCACGGAGACTGAGACTTAAAGACTTTCAATAACAATCCCGGATTGATGCCCTCAAAATGAAACTTGAGTGGATGTTTTAAAACCTCTGAATTAAGTTTGACACAGATGTAGAATCCACAGTACATTTACACATCAGTGGACATCAGTGGACATCTAAAGACTCATATATGTTCCCATATCACTCAAAGGATTTTTGTTTTTCGTTTAAAGTCCACCATCAAACTGGACCTGCAGTACCAAGGGTGTAGAAGAGAGGCCAGCCCAAAAATCACAATCAGATCTGTGGATGAACAAAAGAATAAAAGTTCTAGACAAAAATCTGTAGTTGGACATCCAGACAAACGTGAACATCAGAAACACCCCGGAAAAAACCTCCCAACGTTCCCGCACCGATAGTCTTACATAACATTTTCTGAATGTCCACACATGACTATGACAATTCGTTTCCCGGTGCTCACCTGTAGACGAGGACCCGAGTACCTGTCTTACACAGCCACCAAACAGGGTCCTGCATTAGAACCATGATTACAACACTTCCAAAGTCTTTTAAGGTTTCTGCTGAATATTCAGTTTTCACTGAGATGTCCTGATTCTGGACCAGAAGTCTGTAGACTTTCAAAGAGGCTTAAAAACATAACAGACAATAAGAAAGAATAATAAATGAATGTATGTCCAAATTTCATAACCAAACTGTACACAGATGTTAAATGAAGTCCCAGCCTGACCTCCAGATGCTAAACCTGCAGAGACCATGACAGATGAAAGATGTGTCTCTACCCTCGACACCGGCGTACCAGCTGGTGGGTTGTTGGTGTTTCTGTGTTGGTTTAAAGCCAAAAGGACACACGATGAGGTCAATGTCATCGGATCAGCTGATAGAGTTCAGCAGTGTCTCTTTTATCACATGAACAAGTCCAGAGTTTGTCCAAAAATATAAATAAATAAATAAAAAGTCTTTGTGTCTGTCCTGATATGCAAACAGGACGCAGCCAGTCCACTTTCACACATTCACCCGAGTCCACCTGAGCACAGGTGTGTGGTCATCTCTCCCTTCACACTCTCCTTGTGTTTATCATCACTGTAGATCATGTTACAGTTTGGTCCCATTTTTTATGTCTTTGTTTAAGTGTGAAGAGAGTAAATTTACATTTACATCCAAAAAAGTCTCACAAGTGTTAAATGGAGGCCGTGTTTGCCAACAGGTAACGTCCAGAGCTAAATCAGGTAAGCTGATGGCCCACAGAGCAGGATATAAATAACACAAATGCTTATTAGTGCTGCTGATGGTATTCCTTTAAACTCCTCCTCCTTTTATTCCGGCTGAACATCTGATGTGGACATTAAAAACTTCCTATGAGAGAAACTGTTACACCCTGAACGTTAACATCACCTCCAGGGTTTATTCGAGCTTTTTGATTCATGTCCTCCAACAGTAATGAAGAACTTTTCATGCAGATACAGTTAAAGTGATGATTCAGTGCAGTTTGGATGATGGAAATGAGAGTAATCACACCAAAAATGTTCTTTTAAAGAAACTAACGCCAGCAGAAGCTTTAAAAAATGCTGCTGGATCCGATTGGCCCTTCAGAACAGCACAGCGGGGTGTCCGACGCCATCGTGCGCTCACAGGAAGTTCTCCAGTTCGAGATGACGGCCAACATGCTGAAAACACTCACTGGGGAGCTGAACTCCAGGGGAAGGTGAGGGTTCACTCTGTGATCTTAGGCTACCAGTGGTGATTCTTGGAGAGGTAGGCGATGAGCGCCACGGCCACGCCCACATAGATACCTGTCCCGATGGTAATTGACAGGACAGCGAGGAAGAGAGCCCGCCTGGAGCTGGAGCTGGCCAGGTGAAAGTCTCCTTTGGAAACTGCCTTGTTGGTCTGAGAGGGACAGAGACGTAAAAACAAGTCAGACAAAGGTTAGCTCCTTATCTCGTCGCTCTCGTGTGACACGAGCTGGGAAAAGAAACACAAAACACAGAAAACTGCACCAAGGTGAGCTAGAACGGCAGTTACAGTGGGAAACTGGGCTGAAGTATCCACCCATCCATCCACTGTGGGAGGAAGCCGGAGAGAAATCATGCAGGAACAAGAAGAACATGGAAAAGTCTGGCAGGCTGACGGCTTCAAACCTTCTCACTGTAAGGCAACTCCGCCAACCCCTGCTGATGTTATAGGAGGATTCAAGTCTCTGGTTGATCTGATATCCTCGTGTTGGTGTTGTTCCCAGATCATCATAGTAAATGTTGTTCCAGGATCAACACTGCAAGTGACCAATCAGAATGTTGTGACGTCATACTTTTGCGACTTCGGAAAAAACTGCCGTAAAACAAAAAACTGTACTTAAGCTGCGAGAAACCGCCTCTGTCTGCCGATCAACGGACCCTGACCCTGACCCTAAACAGTAAGCAGAACTGATATTGTCCTTGCAACATTGGAATTTCATAAATGCACGAATGGCTTGGCGCGCAAAAGAATAACGTCACAACAATGTGATTGGTCACTTGCAATGTTGAACCTGGAACAACATTTTCATGATGGTCTGGGAACAACACCAACACGAGGATATCAGATCATCCCAAGTCTCTAGTCCAGGTACGCCTCAGTAATTGTTACCGATCAGAATATTTCCTCTGGTTCAATCAGGTGATGAAGATCTGTCTCCATCTTCTCTCTGATGAAACCAGCAGCGTTCAGGTCTGAACTCGCCCGCGGAGCTCCGAGCTTAGGGGGAGACTCCACGCACGACGGCAGATAATCAGCTTTACAAAGAGATGCTGAGCAAAACAGCAGCAGAAGAAATGAGATTAAAAGGCAGAGGAAGAGCAGTAGAGAGGACCCATCAGTCTCTCTGCTCTTTAATCGCTTTTTAATAAAGATGATGTGATCAGGGAGCAAAGCATCCTGCTTGGTTTTTGACCTCAGGGGCTCTATTAGATATCTGCTTCATCAGCTTCTGCTTGGATTCCACTTATTGAATGAGTGGACCTGAAAAATGTTGCTAACATGACAGTGATGTGCTGCAGCGGTCCATTCTGACAGTAACCTAAACGTCACACAGGGGGACCAGGCCTCCCACCTGACTGAGTCAGACTGAATCTGAATATTCTTACTGCTTTAATGTGCTATCAGAGCTGGTACTGACTGACATAACAACACTGTGCAGTGTGACTTGGGCGAGTAACAGGTTAAAACACCAAATTCATCAAAGCAAATTTCCCGACTGAGACAGCAGGTTGTTTGTTCTGTTTTATCGGTGGAGTCTGGTATGTGTTAGAGCTCCGAGGCTGATGTTCGCCGTGTGCTGCCAGTGACCATGTATCTCTGTGTCAGGTGACAGCTGAGTTAACTCTGTAAACCTGATTAACTGGCTCGTGGGCAGGAAATAACCACTGTAATCACCACAGTTTCCAGTAAGATTTAATTAGTTTCCATGTCATACCACATGACAGAGGGCGCCAGTGAGCTCAGGACCTCCTGTGACTGGTCCAGTGGGGAGATGCTCCCACTCGGCTCAAATAAAGAACGTGTGTGTGTGTGTGTGTGTGTGTGTGTGTGTGTGTGAAGCCAGAGTTATGTAACAAGCTCAAACTGTGTGTGCATGTGTAGCCAGGTTTTACTGGCATTGTGGGGTCCTAAGTGTGTATACGTCACCACATTAGAGAGACGTCTTTCTGACTGGGACAAAAGGGAAATGCTTGAAGACACGCTTTTTAAGGTTAGGGTCATCCCAGTAGTAGTGTGAGTTAATCTCCAGGAAATGAATCTGTGTGCGTGTTGGGCTTGCTCTAAAAGCACCAAATCAGATAATGAACAGGAGCGATTGTTTCAGTCTGCCACGTTTACTCTCAGGACACTTTTCAGCTGTTTGTTCTCACAGTGAAAGTGTCCTGACAGTATTTTCAGAGGGAGTTTCTCTTCTCATCCATCATTAGATAAAAGTCCTGATGTGACTTCATACACAATACATCACACGAGTGTTCACCGTAATCTGTGTGAAAGCTTTGTTATATGTGAGTTCAGCTTGTATCGTCCTTGATTTTAAAAGTTATTTCCTGGTGTGCTTTTCTGTGTTTTGACTTGCTTGCTTCTGTTAGCATCAGACTGAGTTTATATTTTTACCCTCTGTACCGGACATGTGTCTAACTGAAGGTCCAGGGTGTTTGACTGCAGTAAATACAATAAAAACTAGTTAAAGGAAACTTGAGGACTAAAGCTCACTGTGGAGCAGATGGTTCAGACGCAGCCGTTTAGCATTAGCACGTCCAACGACCTGCTCATTATAAACTCAGGTCGACTGGCTGCAGCCGCTCAGTTACTTTTCCTCAATAAGAAGTCACGTCAGTACGTTTAGAGCTGTAACATCTCCACGGGACTCAAATAAGCATTATTACTGAGAACATGTTGACGAGTGTCATGTTTCCGACCTTTCAGGCACAGTCATCGTACATTTAATGATGCGCCTGTTCTTAGAAAGGCTGTGGGACTTCTTAGTGTTAAAGGTTTGGGACCAAAGAAGATTCTCGTATTTCAAACATGATGTAAAGCTCCCTCTGTGAGTGAGCAGGATCCTCTCCTGCGCGCTCATAACCTTTCAAATATTCCTTTCTTAATGATTTTGGTTTGATGAACCTCTGACAGAGAAAGGACAACCATGCTCCTCCTCCTCCTCTTCCTCCTGCCGCAGTGCTTTCTGTTGTTTCTCACTGACGGATTTCAGTGTGGGAAGGGTTGTCAGTGGCAACCAGCCCAGGCTCCCTTGAAGCTGTAGGTGTGCAGTTGCCATGGAAACCACATATGTGACAACCAGAAAGCTTGTTGCCAAAACCCTCCGCATCCGACCAGTCCTGCTTTGTGCACATTCCAGAGCTCCATTTAAACTTTTCAGCATTTTTAGCCGCTTCCTTCAGACTTCCTGCCGTCCAATCAGCAATCGGCATTTTTTGTCAAAAGCCTGTAGAGAGTCTGGAACAGGAAGTTCAAACCTCGTCTACAAACTGTCAGACTGATGCTGGAATCAAGTGATTGTTTTAATTCTCATTCTGGAACTTTCAACGCAGCGTCACTTTAAGCACGACTGGACTGTAACCAGAGAGTGTGACTGTTTCCTGTTTTATTTTGAAATTCCTGGTCTGTGTGTAGCTGTCTGCTGGTTCGTGGGTTTATTCCTTTCTCTGTTCTTCCTGTGTCTGCGTTGCGTTTATGCATAATTTCCTCTCGTTTGAATGTTTCACGGGCTTTCCCTTTCACCTGTTCTCCTTCATGGATCCTACCTGTGTGAGGTCACAGGAGGCGCCGCATCCGTCCCACTCCTGATTCTTTTAACAAGCTGAGTGAGAGCATCTCTCCTCCTCCAGCTGACTGCAGATCAGTTATATAAGATGAACTGTGTCAGTGTGTGTAGACGCAGCTCTGAAGTAATGATCCACACACACACATTGACTCATTACTGTAAATACACAACGGTCACTTGCCACGTTCAGGTCACGTGATTGTTTCATGCAGGTAGTTTATTCCAGCTGGAGGGAATCATGTCTCCATCCCACAAACAGACAAACCACAGCTGCTAACTGTTAGCAGTGACCCCATCATCACATTGGCCATCTGTTACCATTAACGTAGCAGTTATCAGACTGTAGTTAGACAAACATGAATAATTATCGCAGCTGAACGGGTCGTGGATGCAGTATCGATCCGTGTCAGAGCAGAGTACAGACACGCGGAGAAGCGGGGGGGTTGATGCTGTGCAGAGTAGCGGCGGAAGCAGCCGAACGGGACAGAGAGTCCAGAGTGCGGAGAACCAATCAGAGCAATGAGGGCAGAGCAGCCAATCGGACGCTTTCAGGCCTGATGAGCAGAGCCGAGAGAGCAGAGCGAGGCTGCAGGCGGACGTGGACGTGCACAGGGAGCATGTGCAGTTTACAGCCAATAGTGACGAGATTCTGAGCACTCAGCATGTCTGCCTGTTACCTGATCTGCAGTTTGTTAATTTTGCCACGTTTTATTCCAGAGCTCTGTTGTTTGTGTTGTTAGTCTTTTCATTTATCCAGCCCTCTGTGCTCCCTGTGCGGTGGTTAGCACACTCACAGCGAGAAGCTGCGGCTGACAGGCTGGCTGTGTGGCTCCTCTCACATGCAATAACAGTGTCTGTATGGTTCTGTGTTGTGCTACGTCCACACTGATGCGTCTTTGTTTGAAAACGCATCGTTTTCTCTCCGTTTTGGCCGCCCGTCCACACTGAGACGGCGTTTTGAAAACTCTCTCGAAAACGCACACATTTGAAGAAGGTGCTCATGCGTCGCAGTGTGGACAGCGAAAACCGAGACTTTCCAAAACGATGACGCGTGTTAGTCATGTGATGCAGTCATGTGACCAAGCTAAGATAGCGGAGGGCGTTACACAGCAGTTGTTTTGTTTGACAGCCGTATTAAAGATTAACATCAGTCTGCACGCGCTCCTGAGAGCTTTTCTTCTTTTTTCTAACTCTCACTCGCTTTTGCAACTTTGTACTTTTGTGTTACTCGCAGCAACGACTCCACCTCATTGTGAGTCCATTTAACAAACTCGGTGCTTTTCCTCAACATTCTGCCGCCACGTTTCAAAGAGACGGAAGTAAATAAGCGGCAGACAGAAATGAGGCAGGGCGAATCTTCTCGCGCTTCACACATGTGCAGCACTGGAACGTAAGCGTTTTAGGCCATTTCAGTGTGGACGCACAACTCTGTGAAAACAACTGAACACGCTAGTGTGGACGCGGAGCGTTTTCAGACGAAAACGCCATTTTCAAATCTATCAGGCCAGTGTGGACACAGCCTTAGACTGGTTCAGGGTGTACCCTGCATTTCGCCCTCTGGTAGCTCTGTTAAGGACGGATGTATTTAACACTTTAAAGCAGGGGTGAAGAACTCGAGGGCCGGTGTCCTGCAGGTTTTAGACATCACCCTGGGTCAGCTGACTCACATGTTCTTTACCAGGAGAACTCTGGAGAACTTCAAGACATGTTGAGGAGGTCATTTAGCCATTTAAACCAGCTGACATGTCTAAACCTGCAGAACACCGGCCCTCGAGTTCTTCACCCCTGCTTTAAAGCCTAACCTGTTGCTGTGACAAACATCTGTAATCTGAACCATTTGCTCAACTGAAAGAATTCCAGTGGTCTGTGCTTTTTCAGTGATTTAAGGGTTATTACTGTAAACCTAGGCACACTACGTAAAGACGAAGGTTGGTGGAGAGAAGAGTTTTGACCGTCTTTTTTATTGTTTTGTTTTTGCTGTTTGCTGAGATTTGAATCCCTGCCTGGGATTATCATAATGGCCCTAACATCAGTGAAACGCACAGAGTCAGTGCTTTCAGAAACTGCTGCAATTTTGCCATGTTCAAGAGTAATTTGACCTAAAATGCTCCCGTCGGTTTCGGGGGGTTACAGTCTCAGTTTGTGCACTCGCTATTGTTTCCCTCATTCATGCACATTGCAGGTTAAAGTGTTCTGGGTTCAATGCAGCTAAGCCTCTGGCTTCAAAACACGAGAACTCTTTGATTTCCTATTTCAGAGAAACGTTAACATGCAGGTGATCTGAGTCCTCACCTCGTGTGACAGGTAGAAGGCGGCGATGCCGAGCGGCCAGAAGCAGCAGAGCATGGAGAAGACGCTGAGGCCCAGGTGATCTCTGGGAGGCATCAGCAGGAAGGCGTCCTCGCTCTCTGATTCGCTGGAGTAATCGCTCTGATCAAAAACACGAATCAATCAGGAGCAGCTTTTCAGTGTGTAAACGCTTACTCACACACACACACACACACACACACTCTCACACACACACACACACTCACACACACACACACACACACACACACACACACACACAC